GCAGGGGTTTGGCACGCCAGCGGGTGACCTGTTTTCTGCCCAGAAACCTGACCTTTGATTGCTGTGAGGCTCACCTGCTTTTCTTACCTGCTGCCTTTCAAAACGTGTAGCTTGGAAATCGCCTCACCTCATTGCTTTAAAGCATTTCTCTGTTAATTTGGGGGTTGATAGAGCGCGTCTCAAGATGAAGCTCCCTAGGCTGTTCTCATCGCCTGCTGTTGAACTTGAGATCACGGGGCTTGACCCCACGCACTGAAAGAGAGCAGGTTTTCCCCGTCTAATCGAGGAAAAGATGCTGGGGGAAAGGAGAAAAGGTGGGGAGGGATCTGGCTGAAATGGCAATGAGAGGGAGGAGGGAGCTAATGCTGGTAAGGAAAAGGGCTCGAATGGAGAAGTAGCCAGGGGGAGGCTAAGGGAGCTCTGGCACTGACCGTCCCCTCTCTGTGTTCCCCTGGGCAGGCAGGAAGCTGCCTGGGCTCTTTGGGGACCGCCTGGAGCGGCTGGAGGAGGAGGTGAGGCGCCTGTCCCAGTCCTACGACAGCCTGCACGCCCTGGTGAGCGGCCTGGGGGACCGCCTGCGCCTGGCCATCCAGGAGGACACCACCAAGATGATCGGCTCGCTGATGAACAGCCCGGGCACGCCCGACTCCACGGTGGGCTTCGGCATCATCCCCGACGGCCTGGTGGACGCGGCGGACAAAGCCGACGTCGCCGCGTTCCCTCCGGTGGGGGAGATCCTGACCAAGGTGACGGAGGTGAGCGACGTGCTGAAATCCAAGGCGGATTTACTCCACGAGGTTCGCGGCATGGTCCTGGACCACGACGGGCAGATCAAGCACCTGCTGGAGTCGGCCCGGCCCTCGCCCCTCACCTCCATCGACCTGCTGGAGGAGTACGTGGACACGCGGCTGAGCACCCTGCGCGGAGAGCTGCTCGACGGCTTCGAGAAGAAGCTGGGCAAGATCCAGACCACGTGTGATTTCCGGATCCAAGAGGTGCGGCAGCAGTGCGAGGAGGAGAAAGCCGCCAACCTGCGGCTGCAGCAGACGCTGGACGGGAAGGAGCTGGAGATCAAGAAGGAGATCTCCCAGCTGGAGACCCAGATCCAAGGGCTGACGGTGGTGGAGAGCTGCTGCAGCAACCTGGACTACCTCACCGATCGCATGAACATCCTGGAGAAGGGCCTCCACAGCATCTCGGAGTCCCAGAAGAACCTGCACTCACGGATGGATGGAGAAATCTCCACCGTCACCCTGGGGAACCTCTTTGAAGGGCGCTTTGAGGACCTGGAAGCCAGACTCAACGCCACAGAGAGGGAAACAGGGAGCTGTTGCTCCAGCATAGAGGACAGCATGAGAGGCACAGTGGTGGCAGAGGTGGATGGCATGAGGACTGCCTTTGAGGACAAAATGCAGACCCTGGAGGACAGGTTCATGACCATCGTGGGGGAGCTGAACAACGTCAGTGCTCCCGTGGGCATGGATGGAGCAGTGGTGCCCGTGCTGGAGGGGGAGCTCGCTGGCATGAAGAAGCGCACGGACGAGAAGCTGGAGGTGCTGCAGAGCCGCCTCGTCACGCTGGAGAGCACCTGTTCCTCGGGCTGCACCTCTGCCTCCAGAGACGTGGAGACCTTCCGGACGGAGATCGAGGACTGCCAGAACAGGAACCAGGACCTGCTCCTCCGGATGGACAGCAACTACGACCTCCTGCGCAAGCTGAACGCCACCATCCTGGAGATCCAGCGGCGAATCGAGGAGGAGGCGGCGGGGGGCTCTGCAAGGAGAGATCACCTTGCTGAAGATCAACCTGAACACTGTCAGCAAGTCCCTGACGGGGCTCAAGGACTCCGTCTCGCAGTACTCGGACACCATGACGCACATCAACTCCTCGCTGGACGAGCACGAGCGCAAGATCGAGGACGAGGTTCACTCCATCCAGGAGAAAGTCAACGACCAAGGCTCGCAGCTCTTCTTCAGCAACCGCCGAGTCCTGAACCTCAAGGGAGACCTGGAGCGACTCAAAGCCCGGATCGTCAGCGACCTGAGCTCCTGCAGGAGCGTGGCCCAGGACCTGCAGCAGGAGGTGGCACACTTTGACGAGCGGGTGGCGCGGGTGGAGAGGGTCTGCGGCAGGCTGGGCGCCGTCACGGGGAGCCTGGACGGAATCAGGGACGGACTGGAGAAACACACGGGCAGCCTGTGGGACTACATGGACCGTATGAACGGGACCCTGGCTGCCCACTCTCAGGAAATAACGGGACTGAAGGACAACCTGCTCGACTGCCAAGCCAAGGTCTCGGAGCTGGCGGAGCAGGTCGGCCACCTGGAAGAGCAGGCGGAGAGGGAGCAGCATTAGCTGTGCCGAAACGTGCTCCTTGCTCCATTAACTTATATCACACGGACTCCAAGGTGACAACAGGTCTTTGGATATTTTTTTAATGAAAAGATAAATTAAAAGCTGCTACGAACCCTTCTTCACACCACCCTCCTCCTCCTCCTTTATTTTTTTCTGTGTGCTCGCCTCCGCAGCTCGCAGCTGTGCCAGCCCTGCTGGAGCAGGGAGCTGCCTTCGGGGCCGGGGGTGTTGCTTTGGCTCTGGGGCTGATGACCCCAGAAGGACAATTCAGGAGGAAGCTGGAGGCGGGGACGTTTTTTAAATTTTATTTTTGTGGATTTGTCGCTTCTTGAAGAATAAAACCCTGTAGTTGTCAGTTGAGGAATAGAGCTACTCTGACCTAAAGACCACCTGCATCTTAATCCAGGGACTGAACAGAGCCAGGGCTCCTTGCAGGGAACAAAACTCACCACAGGAACTGTGGATTTCAAAGAAAACACGTACTCACACAGCCCCTGGGGAGCTGCACTCCCCTCTTCGAGATGGCAGCCCTCCTTGCATAAGGTAAATCCATTTATCCTGCTCCCTTCTTCACGCAAACGCACATGCCTTCCAGAGCACGTGAGGAGATGCATTAGGAAAACACATGTGGATATGGTACGTGTGTCTGTATCTCTGAGCAATCCCCTGTCCCAGTGCTCAGCTGAGTGCAGAGCTTGCTCTTGCTGCCCCCTTTCCCTCGCTGTACTTTGAGGAACCACACGGAGCAGCCATCAACTGTCCCAGCAGCATTTGCACGAACCCAGGCGGTCCCTGGGGGCTGCTGTGGTTTGCAGTCCCCCTCCGCTTTGTTTACTTTGCTTTCTGGTTACACCTGGGACTGATGTGAAGGGTTATGGAAAACTTGTGTCTTTCCCAAAGACGTGTGTGCGTGTAGGTCTCAGAAGAGACAAAGCCAGGCTCGGAGCAGTCTCCTGCCTTCCAGCTCTGGTTCTCTCCTGTTTTACTGCTTAAACTGTGAACGTGGTTTCCCCCATCTCATCCCTGGGCAGGCGAGGTGCAGCTGCTCCAGGATGTGAGCATGAAGCCTCACCTGCTCTGCCTGGGTTTCCCCATCCAGGATCCTGCTTCCTCTTTGCAGTCCTCTGAGTCCCAAGAATGCTGAGGATCCAGGAACCTGTGCCACCATCAAGCTCCCAGCAGGGCATCTTGAGACGTCCTCTCCTGAGCTCAGCCCTGGGGAAAGGTTGAGCTGTGCTCCAGGCTCTGAGCAGGGCTGGAGGCGGTACGAAAAACCAAAGCAACTTACCCAGCTTCGCTCTGGCTTCCCACAAAGACTGGAGAATGTTGCTGTGTTCCTGAGCAGTGCCAGCCTTGTCCCATGAATCAGGTGCCCGTACTGCGTGGCTGTCTCACCAAAATCTGCCTTTCCCAGGAAGACCAGCATGGACAGCCTCCCCTGCTCAACCATCAGGGGCTTTGTTAGCAGAAAGGATGAAGAGGAAATTAAAGAGCCTCCTCCTGGCCAGTTCTGGCACTGTTATAGCAGAGGGATATGTTTTTCTACCAGCTCAGCACTGCAGCTGATGGGCAACACCAGCTCCCACCCCGTGCCAGGAGGTGCCGTGGGAACAGTGAGCACCATGCCCAGGGCTGGGCTGATTGGGACCATACCGAAGCTGGTGAACCACTTCTCCAGCTGAGGAGCAACCTCCAGCTGCTTTTGGGCATCCCCAAAAACCTGCTCTTAAACAGGAGACTGATTCCTTCCCCCAGCACAGGGGAGGGACCTCAAGCCAGCCCTTTGTGATGGTGCAGGGGAACCCTCACCATACCAGCCCTCTTCCTCCTCCTCCTCACACACCAGGGACAAAAAAAGGGCTGTAGCAACCAAAGAGAAAACTGAACCCAGCCCCAGGCTCACCTCCTTCCAGGGGAGCTGGGCAGTCAGGGTTTGGTTAAAAAGCAGCTGAAGAGGAGCACAGAGGGAGCCAGGACTGGTGATAACAGAACTAGGACAAGGAAGAAGTCTGACCTTCCAGAACATGGTGCTATGTTTGGACTATTCCTGATTAGTCACTTGAAGATACAATTTTTATTTCAGTTCTCAGCTATCCCTGTTTAAAAGCAAAAGGAACTTTGTATAAAATAGGGCATTTTTTCTTTTACTTTGCTTGCAGAGAGGGAAGGAGATACTGCCCACGTGCTCGCTCTTGCCCTGGGCAGCTTTCCGAGGCAGTTGGTAACTGCTGCTGGTAAGAGGCTGTTTTTTTAAAAAAAACCTTGTACATTTGTTCAGATTTAAAAGCTGAAAGACTGTTTGTACTGGAAGAGAAAAAAATAAAGTTCTCGCTGAGGTTTCCAGTATCAAAATGACTTCTGTGGCTTCAGGGAAAGAAGTATAACACCAGGATTCTGTTAAGTTCAAACACTGAGGCTATTTAGAGAGGAAGAGAGGGCAGGCAGCCTAGCAGGAAGTGATTTACACTTGCACAGAGCAGTCAGGGAAGAAGCTAGATGCCAGAGCAGAGACAGGAGCCCAAGGCAGGCAGGAGCACGGCTGAAGTTCATGGAGGCCCTCCCACAGGATAATTCCAGCCAGGATCACGAAGAGACACCAAGTCTGGCTCCCACTCCTATGCATAAGGCTACAGTGATCAAGAGGCAGCCTGGAGTTTATGGAAATAATTTATTAGTTATTGCTATTAGTGAAAAAGCACTCAAACATGCCAGCTTCCATCCACCTTTACAAGTTAAGCCACGCAACAGCTTCACTCCACGGGCTACCAAGCTGCAGGTAGCAGTAGTTGTGCCAGAGGCTCATCAATAAGTGACCCAGTTCCACCTTTAAGAGACAGGTTTTAGAGATAACGAGCATTAAGACAGGCTCTGTAGGAAGTCCAGTTCAGTAAATGGAGTTTCTGGTGGTCAAAGTGCCCTTTGTCCCATCCTTTCTGCACCCTGAGAAGGGGTGCTCCTAGTGCACACCACAACCTGATAGTAGCAGGTTTTGGACTCCTATTAGGAGTAACAAGAGTCCTTTGCAGCAACCAAGGAGATGTCTGTAACATCCAGTCCTGGTCCGGGACTCACAGGTGAGAGGGTCAGGAGAAGGCCTCCAAGTCCACAGCAGGCAGGGGAGGCCTCCAGTAGGCGAAGTGGCTGTACTCAGGGCACGCCAGAGCGATGCTCCCCCTCTGACCCAGTGGAGGGAAGATCAGCTCCACCACCTCCGACAGCCGCTCGTACCTACAGGGGCAAATAATGGCAATAACGGGCAAAACAGCAGGGCTTGAAGCAATCTTATGAAGACTGCTCCTGCTCTAAACCAGGGGGGTAGGAAAGGAAACAGCTCCCACAGGGTGGGGCCCAGAGGAGAGGGGAACAAGCAGGCCCCTTACGTTGACTTGTGGTTCTGCACGAGCCCCTGGACCAGCTCTCCCTTCGGGTTGACCATAAATATGCGGCTCTCAGGCAGGCCCACGTGCCTGTACGCGTACACATCCTGCCGAGGGGGGATGCAACTTGTGAGAGGGGCAGCAAGGAGCCACCACCAGCCCAGCCCCAGTCCCCAGACCCCCCCCCCACTCACAGTGGCTCTGTTCCCAAAAGCCGCGTAGAAGGGCAGCTTCGTGGCAAACAGGTTTTGGATGTCTGTCAGGCAGGCTATCTTGAACACCTCCGGCTTCTTCTCAATCACCTCCCTGGAGCACAAGGCACATGCACAGAGGAGAGGTCAGAGCAGCACCTGCAGGGCAGGACTGCATGCAGCCAGGCCCTCTGGGGGCTCAAAGAAGGGACTGGAAAAGCAGAAGGGTTTCTGTGCATTGCGAGAGCCTCACCACAAAGCTCCAGGAGGACAGGCAGCTCTCCTGCTGCCTCCCATGAGCAGCACCCTACACCAAGGAGGGCACTTGAAGGCTGCAGCAGCCCCCAGGGTTGAGATGGGTGTATGGGGGGGGAATGCCACCCCCAGGGGTGCAGCACAAGGAAAGAGAGAACAGGTACCTGTGGAAAGCAGAGAAGAGGCTGCTGGGGGCAAGCAGGATGGGGCCCTTGGGGAGGGCACAGCCTTGCTCGTTGACCCATTTGAGGTAGCCTTTGGTGACGTGTGCCATGCCGATGGCCCTGGCTGAGCAGTAGAGGAACTTGTAGCCATTCCTAAAGAGAGTACAGGGAAACCCTCTGAGCTGTGACCTAGGCACAGCACCCTCCTACCCCAAACGATGGAGGGAGAGGCTGAGTACCTGCCATGAGCCCTCACCCTGCTCACCCTGTCAGCACCCACGGTGCCTTCACAGCTCCCTCACCCAGAGAAGATGCAGGCTGAGACTGACCCCCAGGGCATGGGGAGCCGTGTGCCCCCTGCCCAGCAGTAGGGCCGCCAGCTGCAAGGTGCCTCTGCTGCCTGGTGCCCCACAGTTGCCTCCTGCCCTGCACAGAGCTCAGTCACCCTGGACCAGGCCAGCAGATGACAGCACCTTCACTGCATCCCCCCCCAGGCTCAGCAAGGTGTGTGGGGAGCTGGTCACAGCCCCCACCAAGCCACCAGCTCAGGCAGGGATGGCACCGAGCTCCTGCAGGAGGGGAGATGGTAAGAGACAGCTGAGAGGTGGAGATGAGCTATCTGCAGGCTCACACTGCCTCTTAGTGGCCACAGAGGCCAGGTGGCAGAGACAGAGCTGGGACCCGCTGCCAGCCTCAGCTGGGTGCACCAGGGCAGCATCGCACCCCCGGGCAGGTCTGGCCCCTTGAGGGACAGGGCAAGGGACAGCTGGGTGCCTGTAAAGGAGACCAGCACCCATCCAAGGGGCTGGAAGTGCTAGGCACAGCCTTGTGCTGCTGTTGTACGGAGACACAGAGGCACGGGGCTGTGTGTGTGGCCTCCCTGCTATAGTTCTGTCAGGTTTCCTCAACCCCACGGTTGCACCATCAGCTGCACCTCACTGGCAGAACCTCCACTATCATGCATCCCCAGTGCCTGGGGGAATGCCCCATCCCTACTTCAGGCACCCACAGCAGCCTCTAATACATCTTTGCTCTCATGGATTGCAACAAGAGGAGAGGACGGAGACACTTGGACCATGCCATAGTGCTGGTAACAGGGCAGGAGCTCAAGTGTCTGCAATGAAAGCCTCCATCATCTTCCTCCATCAGCCATACTGGCTCCCACTTGGTCTCTCCATCAGCCTCCTGCTTCCTTTTGGGGTCTCCTAGTTGCTCTGATACTTACAGGTGGATTTTGTGGAAGAGCTTGGCTATCCCCTGATGAGTCCAGTCTTTCCCCAGATGCGGTAGGATGTGGCCAAGAGCATCTGACCTAAAAGAAAAGGAGACCAGGTTAGGTTGATCCAACCTGGTGGGATTTGGGGTCCTTCCTGGCTGCTTGTGCAAGCCTTGGAAGGACACCTTCCCCTAACATGGCACAGGGAGGGAGAAGGGCCCTTTACTTGGTGATGGTGCCATCGATGTCAGAGATCACCACCTTGTCGTCCCAGTTCCACAGGTAGATAGTGGCCTCACAGCGGCACGTGCCCTGGTACTGAGTTGTCACACTGAATGCCACCTCGTTGGGGCCATCCTGCAGGTTCAGCCTCCCCTGCAGTGAAGTGGGAACAAGCACGATACACCAGCACTGGGACGTGCCAGACCAAGGCTTTCCACAGGCCAGGACTAACACCTGAGCAGCCCAGAGACCCACAGCCCCTACACAGGAGCCACCCAGGGCAAAATATTTGGATGCTCTAGAGAATCTTAAGGTCAGGAGTAGAGAAAACCCCATTCAGAGGTTGTCTCCTCCCCACACCCAAGCAGACAATGAAGGAGGAGAGTACATACGATTTGTTCTGATGACAGCCTCAGGGATTTCTTGTAGGTTGGCAGAAATTTCTGTGCAGAGGTGTCTGTTGTTGATGCATCCCCTGGGTGCAGGGGCTCCTCATCACTGGAGGACCCCTCCTCCTCCTGCCTACACGAGGAAGGGAAGAGCACAGTGCCTTTATTCTGCAGCCCACAGCTTCCACTATGAGCATGGGAGGAGAACTGGAGGGGACCCAGGACAACCCACCCACCTGGCCATTGAGGAGCTTGGCTGGACAGAGTCAGCCAGAGCCTTAAAAGAGCTTTCTGTCCTCATATACAAGGCAGATTTGGGAACAACTGGTCATTTAGAAGAGATAAAAGCCTACAGACTCCTGAAGGTAGCCTGGGTGCTCCAGCTCGAGCCTCCTAGCAGGAGAGAGGCACTCACCTCTGCTGAGCAGACTCAGGCTGCAGTGTCCCCATGTTAGCCTTTCCTGGCCTTGACTGCTGCTGTAGGGTGGAAAGGGGCATCATTAACACCTTGGAGTCACAGGCAGGGCTGCTTCACTGCCACCCGGAGCGGTGACACCAAAGCAGCAGTGGCAATGCATTCCCCTGCCCTGAAGGGGATGGTGTCCCATGGAAGAGGGGCTGCAGTCCAGTGGCAGAGAGGGGCAGGGAGACCAAGCACAGGCGGTGCCCGGGCTGTGGCATGAAGGGCACGTGGCGAGAGGTCTGTGAGGCCACTGCCAGGTCTGTGCTACTGCATTACCAGGTGTTGTTCAGGCATCAAGAGACCTGAAGGGACAGCAGCCTTCCCAGGTCACTGCCATAAGGTCCCTCCAGCTGCTCTCATGCTCAGCCTCAGATCATCCTCCCCACCAGAACGGCCCCTATCCCCCGGGGGCATGCTGTCACAGCCAGCACTGCAAACACCTCCTCTGCTGGGAACTCTCGCCTCCTCCAGGAGAACCACCACCTGCTGCCTCTCTTGGGCATCTTCTCCTTCACCAGTCGGTCAATGGTGTGCTGTGAGTGTGGCAGAACACAGGAGGAAATCAGTCACTCGCAACCCCAGCCAGCTCTACAGAGCCCTAGAACAGACTTATGCAGCCCCAACCCTCCCGGAGGGCCAGGAGGCCCAGCTCTGGCCAGCTCTTGCACAGACAGACATCAGAACAGGTAATTTTTGGTAAGGGAACCTCAACTCTTCAGACTTCAGTGGTACCCACATGCATGTAAAAGCCACCCATACCTGTGGCCCAGCTCTGCCCCAGCCTGGCAGCTTGGCCTCTCACAGCCCCTCTGCGCATTTGAGCCCTGCTGAGAAGGGCAAGCCATAAATGTGTCATGCCACTGACCTCAGGAATGTTCCTCTGGAAAGCCTGCAGGGACAGGACCATGGGAGCAGCCACTGCCCAGTTGTAATACCTGGAGAAACGAGAGGAATGGGAATATCACCACTTCTTGGAGCTGCAAGGGCTGTTTCCAGGTCACCATTCTGCAGCATGGTCAGAAAGCCCTCACCCACTGTCTAGGATGGAGTCACAATCCTACAGGGTGATCCTGCAGGGACAAAGCTAGGAGAGCTGGCCACTCACTTCTTGTTGATCAGGATCACCAGGTTGGGGTCATCGAGGATCCCTGGATTCTCAGCAAACTCCTGGTAGGAGATGATGTGCTCCATGAACTTCTCTGGTGGGACAGAGGCTGTCATACCACTGGTGTACACGATGGGTTTTGGGACAGCAGTCTCCCTTCCTTCCCCTCACACCTACCACGAGAAATCTGCCGGCTGCCCCCAAGGCCTCCACACAGTGACAGGGCAATTGCAGGCATCACATTGGAGCCAGAGCCCGTGGGGCTTTCAGCAGGTACATCTGATGGCAGCGGGACACAGGAAGGGATGCTGGGGTCTGTGACAGGCTTTGAAGTTTGCTCCACCTCACTATCAGCAAGAGAAGGAACAGCAGCAACATCAGGCAATAGCTTTAGACACGGCCCTGGTGTAAGGGCTCAAAGAAGTCTGAGCTTGCTCACTGGGGTACCCCATACCTCCTGGGCAAATAGAGAGCCACCTGCTCCTCATCCAGGTTAGAGATGTCTTCAAGGTAAATGTCACTGGGACCCAGGTGAGGGCTTCTTTTGATGGATCCTCAATGCACAGAGGGAAAGGAAACATACTGAGATGGCTTGGAAAGTAATTCATCTAATTCATCCAAGATCATAACATTGTGATCTTCCTCTCTATACAAGGAGTTCAAAATATCACTTCAGAGATTTTTTTTTTTTCCTGGATTTATGCTGGCTGGAGGAGTAAGGCTGGTTAGGACAGGTAATGAAGCCCTCAACACAGCACCAAGGGAGACACACATGCTTTGTTCTGGGTAACTTTCTGCCTGACTTGGCATGCTTAGGATGAAGATGCAGGCCAGGAGCTGCCAGACAATTCAAGTTCAGGGATGCTGAACCAAGAACCCAGCCCCTCTCCAAGTTCAGCTCTGTCCATGGGCTCAGACACCGCTCCCAGCACCAGTCACCTGCTCACCTTGTCTCTGCTGGGGCTCGCAGCTCTCCAAGCCCACCTGGCTCAGGACAGCAGCTCCCTCAGAGGACTCCACATCTGGCTGAGCTCCCAGCACAACCCTCTCACCTCCCTTCTGTTCCTCTTGTTGGGTTGAGGTGGCTCCTGATGAGCTCTCTGCCCCCATGGCACTGGGGTTATCCATCAGTCCAGGGGGGCCATTGCCTTCCTTGGGCATGAGTGTTGGCTCATCAGCCAGCACTGCAGAGGAACAAGTTGGATCCTGAGGTCCTGCTGGGCACAGACCTCCTCCCAGACCTTCAGAGATAGCAAGAAAATGGGTTCTCTCATCCACTGGCACTGGTGTCACACACACAGTGGTTGCTGCAGTCTTTGTGGACTTGGCTGGTTCGACCCATTCTGATTTATTCACCTCAAAAAGAGAAGAACAGGTCTGAGGATGGGAAGTTGCTCAAAGCATCAGGGAGAAGAGGACCAGCCCTCTGAGGCTGCCTGGCCCCAGCCTCCTCCACTTACCCCAGGAGCTCCAGCCCCCCTCCCACTGCCTGCTGGAGGGGCACCAGAGCACTTACCCGAGGGAGCCGTCCCCAGGCCCACTGCATGTGGGATTCAGCCCCTAGGGAAAAACTCTCCTGCGGCCCGATCTCCAGCTCAGAGTCACTTCTGGGAGAAGACAGATGGCTCGGGGCTGGGCTACAAGAAGAGAAGGCAATATTGGGCCTGCTCCACCTTATATAGCCCCATGCTTTCCTGTCACTTGCAAGGATATTTAGGGCCAAAAGCCCTGTGAGGCTGGTTTCCCAGAGTCAGTTCTGCCCCATAAAACTACCGTTTGCCAGGACTGATGGGAAGCTGAGGTCTAAGAGAGCAAAATGCTTCAGCCCTGAGCTTTTCCACAGCCAGACCTTGTCAGCCAGGAAGGCTGCCTTCTCCTGACACCCCCAGGTCCTTTCTCCTGACCCAGCCACAAGGCACACACCCCTCTTTGCTCCCACCAAAGGGGCGCAGACCACCTTGAACCCATCCTTTACCTGTCCATGGAGGCCAGCTCCCCATCAGAGTAAGGGTGGGCCTCCTGCGCCTGCAGCGACCCAGTTTCTTCTTTGGGGAGATCAGTGAAGGAGACAGACACCTCGCCCCTGGGCTCCTCACAGCCTCCCGGAGCAGGGCCCGTCACCTCCTTGCGCCTGGGCTTCCTCCTGCGCTGCCTCCTCCTGCGCAGGGCCACCTCAGTGCTCGGGGCCTCCTGGCCATGAGAGGGTTGAGTGGTGCTCTCCAGGCTCTCCTCCGTGGGGATGGGAGACGTGCAGAGGCAGGATCGGATGCTCCTCTGGAACAAGGACGGGCAGAGGCCATCAGCTCCCTCCTCTCCAGGCTGGCAGCCCATGGCTCCCGTCTATCCAACATGTCCCACCATCACAGCACCACGGAGCTGTGCCCCAGGGGTGGTTGTGTCTAGGCCTACAGGGAAGGTTTTGTACATGCGACATGCAAATAAAAGAGCTCTGCAGCCACAAGTTAAAGACATCCTTAATAAGGGCAAGGGGATGCAGGCAGGAGATGGCACCACAAGACCAGAGTTACGAAGGGTGTAGATGGCATTTTGTTTCTAGTGCCTTCTCCCTGCTGTCAAAACCAGCCCAAGCCAGCAGCAGCCACAAGTCATCCTGGTAGGGAGTTGGCTGAGATTTCCAGAAGCCACAGCTGATCTCATCCTGCTCACCAGGGGAGCAGACAGCCTGCCACGACATCCGGCCCACTTCCACCCCGTCACAAGATCCCTCAAGATCCCAAGCTCAAGACACCTGCAGGCTGGCCAGTAGCTGTGCCCAGGGAGGAAGACCTGTCTGGGGATGACGATATTTGGTCTAACACTCGCTCAGGGTGCTTCACGCTGGTAAGATCCCTTGAGCAGGAACCTTTCTGGGCACAAAGAGGGACTAATGCAGCCACCCCAGGGAAGAGCAGCAATCCAAGCCTGGTTGCTCCACCTAACCCCTTGTGACCACCTGGAAGTGAGGGGACACACAGCAGCAGCTCCTCTTCATCACCGACCTCATTCTCCTCAGACTCCTGGACAAAGAAGGCCTCGCCATTGTCACCCAGCTTCATGTGCAGGTCCACAGGCTCCCCATTGATTTCAATGTCAACCTAGCAAAGGGCAGAAGGTGTCTGTCCACCTGAATGTGCTCACCCATCAGGGCACAGCAGTACAAGAAAGAAACCACAGTCCTTCCCTATACACACCAGAAGCTGTGACGGGGGAAGGCCCCAGCTCTCTGAACACCAGAGGAGGGAACCCAAGGGCACCAGCACACATCCAGCACCACTTACCACCTTCTCCTTGGAGCGCAGCACACCCAGCTTCCCGAAGCGCACGTGGAAAGGGGAGCACTGGAAGGAGTTATCGGGCTGCCTCACCACGATCACATCGATGCAGCCCGTCAGGGTGGCAGGGTTCAGCCCCCGGTACAGCTCCTTCACGGTGACAAAGACGGTCTCAGCAAGCTGCCCCACGTAGTTCATTGTCTGGGACTGCAAGCAGAGAGAGGAACAGGTTCAGGTGGGGGGGAAAGAGCTGCGGCAGCTAGGGGAGAGTTTGCTCTAGGAGAGCAGATCCACAGCTGCAAGCACAGCCCCATCGAGGGGACAGGTCAGCATCCAGGGAAACTGAGGCAAAAAAATACAAAGGGCCTTGATGGAGGCCAGCCAGGGACTGAGCACCAGAGAACAGGGCAGAAGCTGAGCACTAACCATAGCACCCAGCTTGGAGGAGAGATTTCCTTGCCATTAGGACACCACCACATTTGGCACTTGCAAGAGCAAATGCTACTTTGAGGCAACACCTTGCCATCAAGCTGTTACCATGCAAATTTGCTTGGAGGGAGTCCTCCTGCCCTGGTGTGGTGTAAATGCCTGAAGTAACTAGGAAAATAAAACTAACATTCACACTTTTAAGGAAAAGGTACAGCATTGAAGAGGCTTTCAGGGTAGGGCATAACTACATTATCTGAGCATTCCCTAGGCTCCCAACCTTAGATGCTATCGCGCTGGGGAAACTTGGTGTGCTAGCCCTAAGGAACACCACGGAGCGTAGAGTGGAGTGGAGACACCACGGCTAGGCTCTGTAATCAGGTGGGGCCTCGATTGTTCTTGTGCACAAAGCTGCACTTTTTGCCACCCTAAGCCAAAGACCTGTCATGTTTTGACAAATTCTGTACCCTAGTGTTCTTTTTGCTCATTATAATATCATTATAATACCAAAACACACCTCCATCCCAAAAGCTACCCGCCTCCAAGGTGCGACCACCCCTCACTGAGCATGCACCCTGAATTTCTCGGAGCCTATTACTTTAAACGGAAACGGGAAAACTTTACACCAATCATAACTAAGATATGCTTGACTAGAGCCACTCAAGCTCCACCTAAAAGATAGAAAATAATATAAATTGGCCCAAGAGAGAGGGGATGTTAGGGAAGATACCATCGTCAGGGGAGATACCATCCCGAGGACATACAACATCCTTAGGACCTCCTGACTCCTGGGATCAGTCGACGGGCTGAGCCTCTCTTCCCCCCCCATTGGGACGCCTTTGGGTGAGATCTGAATATTTGCTTATAAATCTCTATAGAGTCTTTGATCCTTTTAACGCGTTTATTCCTAGAACCCGCACCTAGAACCCGCACCTAGAACCCGCACCTAGAACCCGCACCTAGAACCCGCACCTAGAACCCGCACCTAGAACCCGCACCTAGAAACCCGCACCTAGAACCCGCACCTAGAACCCGCACCTAGAACCCGCACCTAGAACCCGCACCTAGAACCCGCACCTAGAACCCGCACCTAGAACCCGCACCTAGAACCCGCACCTAGAACCCGCACCTAGAACCCGCACCTAGAACCCCTGTAACACCTGTGTATTTCATGCATACTAGCTTGCTTTTGCAGATAGTCACTATCACCGGCAATCCAAATGAACCTGATTATCTGTTGCTGTAATAAACCATACTTGATTGCATTGTGATAGCTCTCATTATGCAACTAGGGTGAGGGTGGTTATCCGTGATAGTTCAGTGTTCTGAATCTAACCAGACCCCCAGACGGTTAATGCATTGTTGGTGAATGTCTGAGCGGACCCCCAGGTGGTTATTACGTTTTTGGTGAATGTCCGAACGGACCCCCAGTTTTGGTGAATGTCCGACTGGTTCAGTACTCTGAATCCAACCGGGCCCGTAACAGTTAATCAGCTACACCCTTTAACGCGACAACTGGGCTGGCCTTAGAAGCTCGGGGCAGAGAGGTGATAAGTCCAAGGAGCTGCTACGTACACCACTGCTCACTCTATCAAAGCCACATTCCTCACTCAGAAGAGCACATTTAAGTCTCCCCAAAACAGGGGGACAAAGCCCCGCGCTAAGATGAGAGCTCCCCAGTCCTCACACACTCGCCCCTGCTGCCATTGCCCAGCTCCCAGGGAGCTCCTGCCCAGGGGCTGTGCTGCCTGAAGCCACAGGCTGGCGGAGGACACCCAGGCAGCTCTACAGCACCATTTCACATGCTCTGATATTGCAATAGCTTCTGCTTTTTGTTAGAAAAAACCACCTGCAAGGAAAATTTTGCCTGCTGTACGGTCATCACCCTACCTGCTCATACCCAGAGCAGGAGCTAACCCCCCTCTGCCACACTCAAGCAGGCACGTGGAAGAGATGCATGTCTGCAAAGCTGGAGTTTGCATGGTCCCTGCTGGGCATCACAGAACAGCACACATACAGCAGGCTCTGGCGCCCCACCTCACCCCAAGGAGAGGAGGGCACACAGGACAGCCACCCCAGAAGGACCACAAGAGACCCAAAGGAGACCTCCTGCTTCACCAGCAGGGCCAGCCCACGGCACAGCCCCCAGAGCACACCCAACAAGCGCTTACCCAGATGGACGAAGCCCTCTGTCCCCGCAGGCACCCAGCCTCTCTGATCTGCCCTGCAGCAGCTTAGCCCTGTCCCTGTTCCCAGACATCCCTGTAGGAGGGGATTGCATGTCTCCCCCCACTCCTCCCCTGACTTGCCAGGAATAAAGCAAAGCCCACAGGCACCTCACGGCAGCAGGAAAGCACTGGCTGGCTCCAGAAGCATCAGTGCCTCTGTCAGCATCGGTGCCTCCATCAGCTCTGCTCCAAGCCCAGGTCATGGGGCCAGCCCTGGTGGCACTGAGCTGCTGAGCCCAGCTTCCCTGCTGTGTTGCAGCACACAGCAGGAACAGGAGGGAGCTCTCTGTGGCAGCAGGGGGGGATTTCTGGAGAGAAGGAGCCTCTGATCAGCCACAGTGCAGAGAAAGTTATGATTTGCAGAGATAATGAGTGGACAAGGCAAGAGAATGGGTTTTGAGGACACCACCCCCAGAAAGAGCAGGTTGTAGCCCCTCACCCACAGCTCCTGCAGAGGGACAGCCCCCCCGGGGTGACACGGCCACAGCCACACCTCCCCAGCTGAGGACCCCCAAAAACACCCCAGGCCCCTCAGCACCTGGCTCTGCCCCAAGCAGCACCCCCCTGTCCCTGCCTGTCCCCAGCACCAGGCAGGTGGCACAGGGACACCCGTCCCACAGCTGACGCGCCCCATAAGGAGCAGCACCTTCCCCTGCTCCCCATCCACCACACAGCTCCAATGCTGCCCAGGACCTTCCCCTTACCTTACCAGGCACCTCAGCACCCTCTCAACTTTAGGGCAAACCGACCAGGACCCCCTGGAGCTGCTCCGCACCACCTGCAGCCCCAGCTCCGCAGCTCCTCCTCTCCCCACCACTTCCTTCCTCTCACCTGAGCCAGGGGAGGGCCCCAGCTCCCAAACAGCACCCAGCCCCTGCCACGGGTCCTCCTGCTGAGCCTATGAGGGGCTCCCGGGAGGTTTTGAGGGTGGATCTGGAGATGGGGAGCAGCTGTGTGCCACTGCAGCCGGCTGCCTGTTGCTGGCGGAGACCTGTTCCCTCCATCCTTCCCCAGCCAGCATCCACAAGGCTGCTGCAGCCTGACCCCAGGGCTGGCGTTTCCCAGGAATGTCCTTATTTCATTTTCTGGACCAGATCTCTGAGTGTTTAACCCCTTGGGGCATGAACTGGATGAAGCCCCAGCTCTCAAGACCCTGGCAAAAGACTGCATGAGCCCTTGAGGCTGGGGTGGTGTCTCACTATAGAGCATGCACCAGGTGCTAATTCCTCCTGCTCCATAGGGTGATGGGGGTTGCTGCAGGGATCATACAGGGCTGGGACCACAAAGGGTGGGCAGGGAAATAATTGCTGCATCGGGCCCTTAATTGCTGCAGAGTATAAGAACTGGGCTGGGAGGAAGGTGGGCTGCTGGTGGGGAGGGATGAACCTTCACTAGAACTTAGTGGGGGGAGATTTAGGGGGAGTACATTTAGCTGTTCCCAGAAACTGGGAGAGTGGATTTTGGTGAGATGTTTCCCTGCAAAACCTAGGACTGGTAGCAGGCCAAAAGCTTCCAAGGGAAGACTGCCTGACCTAGGGGTGTGTGCCCCAAGCCACAGCCATCCTGAGCCCAGCCTCCTGCTTTTTCCAAGCTCTTTAAGTGTTGCTAAACAAACCCCCCCTGGAGAAGTTAAAGGAGCTTAAGGGCTGAGGACGTGCTCCAGGTAACAGAGGGGATGGCAACGTGCAGCAGGCTGTTAGCTCTCAGCTGCTGGGATGTGAGGAGGCTCCGGCCGTGTCCCTGCTGTGAGGGCTGCTGCCTGCCCTGCTGGCAGCACACCCCAAAAAACCTCCCGCGGCCCTGGTGCTGTTGGCATGGGAGCCACCCTCTGCAGCCAGCACCCGTGGGAGATGCAGCCCTGCCGGGGCAGGAACTGGCAGCAGGTTGCAGCAGCGCAGGAATGCCTTTTCAGAAGAGGGCAGCATTTCTTTGTCAGCCAGCTGAATGCCATCCTTGGGTGAGCTCCGAGAAGGCGGGCAGAGCAAGCAGGAGCACACGAGCAGCACAGCCTTGCTCTGGCCCCAAGCCCCCATCCTCTGGGTACTGGGGTTAGCAGCTGGGACTCGGGCACCCTACAGAAGTAGCTCCCACCCCTTTTCTGCTCCAGGCCTCCTGGCTCGGCTGTTTGTCCCCCGACTCCCAAAGCACCAGATTTGCTCCCCAATGCTGCAGCTTTCCCAGCACGGGCAGCGGCTGGGCACCGCCGTGCACCTCGAGCATCCCTGCGGTACCCACAGCTCCCCCTCGCCCAGCCGCTGTGTCACACCCGTGCTGTGGAGCTCCTGGCCTTCTCATTGCCCTGGTCACCTTCCTACAAAGCCATGGGGTTAATCTTGGTCCTTGCCAGCTGCCTCCTGAACCAGAAGGCACTTCTTTTCATATTCTTCTCCCTGTTGTTTTTTTGGGGGAAGGCCAGCCCTGCAGGCCCATCGCTCCCTGGGCACCCCAAGATCTCTGCATCCCCCCACCTGGAGAGGCCCAGCAGGGAGAGGTTTGTTCTCCCCTTTTGGGACCTCCACAACCTGCAGATGTCTGTAACGAGCTTTTCATAAC